TGCCATAGTAGTTGTCATGATTCCCAGCATCTGACAGTGGACTTGGTACATTCTCAAACATTTCGCCGGCCTCGTAGTCAGCATCATCAGTGAGTTTTGCCATTCGCCGCACCAACCTATGAACTTGTCAACGAGACAAGTGAAGTCAATCCCTCGACAAACGTTCTGCCGAAAACGGTTAGACTATCAGTCATCTTCGTATTGGAGTAGAGTTTAGAGACATCTCATATCACTCATCTTTCTGTCCGGGCCTATCTATCAACTCCTTACCCTCTGAGCCCACTACCGCCCTATCCACTCGTTGAGCTTACTTGCATTTCGAGTGCAAGTGTTGGGTGAAGAGATTCGAAGGTCGGTTCCACCAGAAGACGACGGCGAATTCCTCTTGACCAGCTGTTGGGTGAAGAGATTCGAAGGTCGGTTCCACCAGAAGACGACGGCGAATTCCTCTTGACCAGCTGTCGATTAGGTTGAGAGAGATTCGAAGGTCGGTTCCACCAGAAGACGACGGCGGATTCCTCTTGACCAGCTGTCGATTGGCTTTATTGGAAGATTCATGCTGACGCTGTTTTCGAGGCATTCTCTTTCGATTCCGGTGAAAAGGTGTTAAGCTTTCGTCCGTCATATGACGGACAGCATCAGAGCGAGGTAACATCGTCACAACCAAATTCAAGCTAACGAGTCAAGAAAACTCACCGGAAAATCGCTAAAAAGTGGAATAAACATATGACGCATGTTATATAATAATACCCTTTGCATAATCGATTGCTAAAGCAACAGGTGAGGATGCTTACTATACCATATTGATTTGATTTTTAATACTTTTAGATTATCCTTAACAAGTATATTAGAATAATAAACAGAGAAAAAATGTATGAATTAAAATATTTATGAAATTATTTCAATGCAATGGAAGAAATGACATGACTTTATGCGTTAGAAATGCATCGAATAGTACGATTTTGTATAGTACGACATTTTCACGGGACGAATTACCGGTAACAATCTTC